CCACCCCCTCGGCTTGCACAGACATGCAGTGGGATCCCTGAGGGCATCTCTTTCTTCGTGAGTTTTTTGTTTTTTTCTGTTTTTTTTGGGACTTTTCTTGTTATTTTTTAAAATTCTTTTTAATTTAATTTGTTTTCTATTCCCCTCTTTTTCCCTTTTTGTCTTTCTTCATTACTCAGTTTCTCATCTCTCTATATCTTCCTTCTCTTTGTGTTCCCTGAATACCTGGCGTTGTATAGCTCTACGCCTTCTAGCCAGACTGTACTGCAACACCTGAGAGCGACTTTCCCAGACCTCATAGCTGCACGGGTGGGATCCCTGGGAACTTTGCGGTTCTTTAAACTTCCCAATTTTTATTTATTCATTCTTTTCTTCCTCTTCCCCTTTATGTTTTTCTCCATTTCATAGTCTCTCATCTCTCCACTCCAACAGCAAGCTCCCTTAGCATTCTTTATTGTTTGTTTGTATGTTTTTGGCTCCTGTTCCTCTCTCCTCTCTCCCATATCCATCTTAGCTCCAGACATAACAATCTCCCCCCTAGATCCTGCCTACCTGCACCGTGCGCTTAACATCACACCACCAAGCAGCACAGGCACGACCTACTGGAACCTGCCCTGCACCGATTACTGACCCACCCTGGTGGCTGTAGTAGGTGCCACAGACAACCTGTCCCAGTAGCTCCTCTTCAGCTGGACCTGCCCTGCCATACCATATCTGAGTGACTGTCCCTGCCAATTGGAGAAGGAGGGAATAAGTATTGTGCCCACAGATGAGCAAACAACAAAGAACACACAGTCCGCCTGCTCAGACATAGTCAAATTTTAAAAAGTAAAGGGACAAAACAAACAAATCTACAATCAATAAACTAGAAAAGTAACTACTGAATGCCCCGAAGACAGCAGACAATATTAAAACATTTACAAAAACAGAACAGGATGGTTCCAGTAGGTGTCCAAAATAAAACACCAGATGACTTTCCAGTGGAAGAAAATGCACTACAACTACCTGAAAGGGAATTCAAATCGCTAATACTCAGAATTCTTCAAGAGCTGAGGCAAAAAGCTAAAAAACATGAGGAAAAAATAGACAAATTCATGGAAAATACAGACAAAAAATTGGAAGAATTCAGGAA